CTGAACATTACACTATTAGGTTTCCCAACAAGTCGCGTCGCTTCCATTTCCAGACCTGGTTTTTCAACCAGAACTCGACGGTCAGCACCATTACCTGAGATCTAGGTCGAAATTTTTTTATAGCCGAGACATTGAAAAACTAGTAGAATTTAAGAACAAGTCATGACTAAGTTAGGAATGTACGCCTGGTTGATTTTCTCATCTTCTCAGGGAATTTTTTCAAAGAAATGCGGTCACTTTCGTGGACAAAACACCTTAAACACCTAAAATTCGAACTAATTCCAACAAACATAAAAACAAAACAAATGAGCGAATAGAGCAGAAGAAGTGCTCACAAAAGATACACCACTTGATATAAAACAATAGCGTTTCAGAGGAAGAATTTCAATTTGAAAATTGCCATGGCTTATCGGTCGGCCAATTCGAAAAGAAACAGGCAAACTTTTTCGGCAACCTAAGGGTGGAATGTTCAGAAGAGGTCATGAGTAAGTAGAGGGTACATCATTGATTGATTTCTCCCAAGGGAAGATAAAGTTAGAGCTAGTTGTCGGTTTGGTCAATTTTTGTCGGCTGGACCTCCCATTTCGCAGGCCTAAAATTTGAAAACCCTGGAACAAGGTGGAAGAAAACATAGCATCTTGTAGAGCAGACAATTCTCTTTCGAATGGTATATGACTGATGTAAAAGCAAGGATTTAGAGAAAATTTTTTTAAAAAAAGCGACACTACTTATGGGACAACCTAATACATCGTTTCGCTGCTTTTTGCGCTCCCTCACCTCGAAGAACATCTTTTCTCCCTAGCTCCTGTAGTCCCTCATCTGGCTCATTCTCGTCGTCCTTGTGGAAGGAAGGCCTGTGTATTTTCTACGTTTTTGACAGTCTCTTTTCCAGTAGTCTCTTTTCCTTCTTTCATATTGGCACTTCAGTAGGAGTTCATTTGGTATTACCAATATCAGTCCCTTTTCATTTTTTGATCTTTTTCAGAGGGGATTCCACTCACTAACAAGGGAGGTCGTTCAGGGTGTGCCAAGCTTTTTCAAAATGGTTTCTTGCATGACATTGGGGCACATGCGGGAACCACAGAACCATGGTTCATTTTTCCTGAACGGCCCTCTGAATACCAGAAAAGGGGTCCCTAGTTCGATTCCTCGTGGTGACAAGTTTTTTGCATTTCGTGTTGACGTTTCCAAATTCGCGCAAGTGGAGTTAGCATGATAATTACGTACCAAATTCATGATTAGGAACGTCAGTAACCCCTTACACTTATTACGCACTAATTCAAATAGACCTTTGATTGAAAAACTGGTGAAAAAAGGTGTGACTAGGAACCCCTTTTTCTGGCCTTCAGAGGGCCCGTTCAGAAAAAATTAACCAGGGTTCTGTGGTTCTCGCATGTGCCTCTATATCATGCAAAAGAGCGTTTTGAAAAAGCTCAGCACACCCTGAAAGACCTTCTGTAGAGGGTATCCTATATGTGTTCATGAACCATTGATTTTGAAAGTGACAATGAGGCTATCTTCAGAAGCACATTCTATGATCAGCTTGGCCTTGATTTCTTAAAAGGGTCATATACTACATAGGCCCACTAAGAGATAAAAAATCCAAAGAGACCGCAAAATCATTGAGGAGGTCTTCGTTTCTTGAGAGGAAGACGAACTCACTAGACAATCAGAGACTAACGGTCAAAAGACCCTGGAAGCCTAGCAGAGAAACAGTTCGAAGTAATGGATGAGAGAGCATAGCGTGTGAGTGAAACTTTGACACTTCGCCGCGATGATCTTTGAATCGCGAACGTTAAAATACCTTGGATTGGAGCGAAGCGATCCACCTGTGTCGACCGAGCCCTCAAATACAGTTACTTGTACTTTCTGGTATTCAAGTTTGTTTTCTTATGCAGCCTCCGAGATTGATACAGACTTTTATTTTGACTGACGTTTCCGTTTCCCTTCGGTGGGTGCCTCCTACAGCTCCGCCGTCGTTTAAGGCTCCGAAGAAGGCGATTCAGCCGAAACGTCAGTCAAAATAAAAGTCTGTATCAATCTCGGAGGCTGCATAAGAAAACAAACTTGAATACCAGTACTATGCCGAGATTAATGGAGAGTCGATCTTGGTCTATTCTGAAAACTTGTACTTTCTTCCGAAACGCTGCATTTTGATGGAAACCGTACTTTCTTTTCATCAAGAAAAAAGTCATATTCGTCATTTACAGTAAAGCATGCATTGTTATATGTTATTATTAGAATTTTAAATTATTATCAGAATTATTATTCACGATTATAGCTACTTTTAATTATAGTTAATAGCTTATTAACTTTACTACGTTATTGAATTTCCAGAGACAGAGGTGGTGCATCCGATGCACCGTTCGGAGCGGTGACCACTCACACAGAGCCATACTTCACTGAGTAGGACGCTTATCCTTTAGCAATGAGCTCCAACAACTTCTTTTTTCACATTTTTTTACCGATGGTTTTTATCTGGACCGGCATTCAACTGCGCAATTTCTGAAAAAGAGGGGGGTTGAGTGGGTTTTTCAGAGGCACATTCTTCGATTACTAGGTATTTTTACGCCTCCAAATAGTGAACTGAACTTTCCGTGAAGCAAAAAGCCCAAGAAATCCGCCGTAGTTACTGTAAAAAAATTCTATCTTGATTGGTGAACGAGTCAAAGAGATAACATAGTGACACTGTTTTCGAGACACTGTACGCCTAGAGAAGAGATTAGACAAAGGGACGGTGATATAGCAGATGACTGCCCCGTTTATCACAAACAACGGCTCAGAGGATTTCGGTGGAAAAACGGGCCTAGTTTGTCCTTGGCTTTCTACTGACCAGCGGGTTGGCGACTTTAGATGCAACTGCAATTATGGCGAGACTGTTCGCACCTCCACTCACCTGCCTGTGGGGACACCTCGCTTAATTGCGGTACGCTGACTGCTGACCTCTCCTTGTCGGACTCAACCTAAGCTATGTAGATTGTATAGATCATCTACTTTATTACATTAACCCATTCAAAAAGCCACACTCATTGAATTAGTTCGCCTGCAGGGAATGTGAGATGTGTGTTTTTACTTATATGGTAGAGAAAATAAGATATATAATGATCACACAGTCGAACTGAGTAGAAAAGCTGTAGGGTGGTTTACTTAATTCTGTTCAACGAATTTAAGCGATATTAAATTGAATTTAATAATCAAAAACATCTCTGAAAGCTACAGGTCTATAGCGTTGGTATTGCTTCAATATGTGAGCGTTTCCTGCCCAGCTCGTGATTGGTTTTCTGTTGAGACGAAGAGCCAGCGGAGCGTTCAAAACTGTTCCTCGTTGTAGGGGTGAATTTTGAAAAACTCAAAGAAACACTTTGCCGCTCTAATGGAAAATCCTCCACTCTAGCGTAGTACCATCTTCTAAATATCGCTTTGACGGATTGTTGATAAGCACAACCTAGCTGGCAGACAATTTATGAAAGTTTTGAGAGGTGCAATAAAGTGGAGTCGGTCACTGATCATTTTGAAGCTGAAATCGTGTTTGTCATGTTGGAGATCGCTAAGTATCATATAAGATGGTAATGGGGAGAATGTAGTGTAACACTTTGGTTGGACCAGTTGCTCTCAATAATGGCTTCTTGAGAGTGAAAAATGACATGTTAAGTGAAGCACGTAACAAATTTTCAGAGCTGCGGTTCTTTTCAGTTTTCTAGTGTTGTTTCAGCATCGTGCATTGTAAGCTGTGATTTCGTGGAGGTTTCGCGGAAAACCTTTACTCCTAAAGTTTACTGAATTATTCTAAGCATTCGATCTTCACATTAAGAGCTGTAATTTGCGATTTTGTTAGGTTGCAGCCAATTTCCACCGATTTGGAAAGTTCTGGGCTGTTACGTGATATCCTTCTATTTTATAAAGCGCTAACTTTGTGTGTCGGTTTGTGTATCTGTATGTGTGTGTGTGTGTGTATGTATGTATGTATGTGTGTCCGTCCGCAAAATGAAGTGAGTGAGAAGGAAGCTCATGGGATAAACAAACCGCTAACAAATCGGGTAGCTTACAGGATTTGAGATATCAATGTTTTGTAGCAGGATAGTTGTGATAACACTCTTAGGGCTATATAAACACCTGCTTAGCACACTTCCGTTCATTCCACATGGTGCTGCAGTGGCAGCTGGAGGGCAGTGGAGAGAGGAAGGGAGGATGAGGAAGGGAAGCGAAAAATCTACCGTCATATCATGATTGTGTCCCTTCTACTGTATGAAACACCATTGTGTTGCATACGCGTCACTTCCAGGAGGTGTTGGTGTCACAGGAGGAAGGGACCATAGCGGAGGATAGAAAGCTTGCGCAGGAAAGGAAGGTCCCGGCGGTTGACGGGGGACTAATCTGGTATGTAATAAGTGAGAGGTCACCAGTCTACGTAGCCAATTAACCGAGTCTCCCCAAAGGCGATTGCCAGGACACGTTAATTGGCAGGTGTGATATGGGTAGTGTGTTAGGTCATCTGCATCTGAAAGTTCCCTCTCCCGCTAGGGCAGCATGGTCGTTCAGATTGTGATGCCTTTAACAAATGGTTCTCTTACAAGGGACTTCGTTGAGGGGGTGCCAAGCTTTTTCAAAACGGTTTCTGGCATGATATAAGAACACATGCAGGAGCCACAGAACCATGGTTCACTTTTCCTTCTCAAACCGAGGATTGCCCTAGTTCGCCATTGCCTCGTGAGACACAGTTTTTGGGCATTTCGAGTTGTTATTTTAAAATTCACCCAGTTATAATTAACCAAAGTCTCCTTTAAAGGACGAATTCACGATTAGAATGAAGGTCGAAGGAGTAATTCACCTAGTTGAGGGACCCGCGGACCTCCTAAGGGTGCGGACTGAAGCGCAATTGGCACCGAAGGAGTTGACCTCGGCGACCTATTAAGGCTCAATCTTGGCGCGGTGGGCCAGTACACGCCACCACTGGCCATCTGATCACTCGCTGCAAGTCTATACGTGGCGAGTGATTGGATAGGTGAGAGAGCGTAGTGTTAAAGAGTGCACAGAGTAGTGAGTTGCATCAATGCTGAGATCAACGGGCAAGGCACGGTCATGGTTTTTGCTTCTTTAGACCCTTCACCATCGCTAGTGGGTTACCTTTCCAGCGTGAATTCGTCCTTAAAGGGTGAGTGACGGTCCTGATCATGAATATGGTGCTACCATTATTTCACGCTCACTTCCATTTGCGCGAAACATTTTAAAACGTAAACGAGAAATGCAAAAACTTGTCACCACGGGAAATCGATCTAGGGACCACTTTTTGATATCCAAAAGGACCGCTCAGGAAATATGAACCATGGTTCTGTGGCTCCTGCATGTGCTCCTGTATCATGCAAGAAACCGTTTTGAAAAGCTTGGCATACCCTGAACGACTGCTGCCCTGTTGGTTGTATTTGTTCGTAGACGTCAGCGTGGCGTGGGCCCCTATACCCGGATAGACTTTTCTCTGAGCTGACATGCCATAGCCCGGAAAGAGCAACAAACTTGTCTCAGACAATGAAACTTTTTAAGTTTGTAATAACTCTACGGTATCTATAGCGCTGAGCAGTTGCGTAATGGAAGGTTCCTGTTCAATGAATGGCTTCAGACATGTATGAGGCCAAGAAAGTGCAAATCAAAGAAATGCAAAAATTGGTCTTCAGTGGGGATCGAGCCACAAGCCGTTGTTCCCACACATGTGTGAGCCTTCCCAGAGCAGATAAGAAAAAAATCCCAGTCTATGCTCCATAACGCGTTCCCCATATCGAACTAATATCTAAAAATGACGATTGTTGAATGAAAACGCTCTCCTGGAAATGATCTTTCTCGAGTGGGTGCCTAGCTAGTGCACACTTTCGAGCTACAGAAACTGTGTTATTCAGCCTTAAACGAATACTTCCCAAGTTTTGGAATACTATGTATGTATATCAATCGCAGAATGTGCCTTCAGCTGAATTTTTCGTAAATTTTTTCCTGTGGAACCAGTTCTTGCAGATATTATTAGTTGCTTAATTGTGAAATTTCAGGGACAGAGGTGGTGTATCTGATGCACCGTACGGAGCAACTTCCACGCAAGCGGACCCATACTTTCCAGAGTAGGACTTCTCTTTTGTCAACGAGCCACACTCTTTCGTTATTTAATGTTTTTTGTTACTTATAGACTTTTCTAGTTGTAGAAAAAACTCAAGAATGGCGTAGCTAAACCTTAAGGGAAAGGCGTTCATCACCGTACCGCAACCTTACGCCCCGCAACGTTACGCCGGAGGAAAGAGATAGAGCCAGAGATTCTATTTTCGCTCGTCTAGACGAACCAAAGTAAGTGCACAAGTAAGGAATTTTCAAAAGCAACACATGTTCCTTTTCTTGAAGGAATCGTCCACAGAAAAATCATGATTCTATCTCACCCAAAATTAGTGGCTTGAGGGCCACCATTTACGATATGAACGAAATGAACAAATTCCTGCCGCACATATGTTACAAATGTTGGTGACAGGAACTGGTTCTCCTGGTTCTCAGTGTGCCTTAACTAAAATCTCTTCTTATCTTGGTTTCAGAGCTTCAACCCCTATTCCAATGCGCAGCCTGATACGTTGTCGTCCCAAGGCGCAGTTCTTTCCATGCATCCTTTCTTTCCATTCTTTAATCGATTATGGCGCCGCCGCTACTCACCACCTTCTTCAAAAGGTGGTTCGTAACTTTACTTCTAGGTACCCCCCAGGAGGCCCGTCGCGCGGCAAGAAGGCGAGTCAGCGGACGAGTCCGCGCGTACTGTAGGGATTTCGCGTCAAGTTAAATAGAATGTCCCATTGTACGTCCTACATCGCACACGCGCTGCGACTCGTCCGCGACTCTGCCTTCTTGCCGCGCGACGGGCCTCCTGGGGGTACCCTTTATTCTTTTAGGAAACCGAGCCTTTTTGCGTGAGACTTGGACAGTG